TTGATTGTCTCCCTTCGACACGGATCTGCTGGAAATGTGACTTTAAGTTTAGTTTTTGTAGAGGTTTTACGGCGTTCGCAACTGCATAAGATCATATGAGCGCCAAAATGTGACTTTGACGAATGGCTTTGTTAAGCAGGTGGAAACACCGAAAATCACTCCCACGATGGTTGAACAACATTACTAATGGTTGATTTATCTTCTTTCTCCGATTGTCCGAGTATAATGATTATGTTGGTTGCTTGAATAAGTTGGGGGTTGTCGTTTTTTTGGGATAATCTTGGCTTTTTTAAAGGTATATATGAAGAGCACAGGGGAAAAAAGACTGTAGATCTAGATCTAGTCACAAACTGGAAATGGTGAGGGTGCCTATTTTCAAAGCTTGTGGACTCATAACTTCATATTTGTTTGACTAGTGGTTTATTGTTAAGTGTTGTTGAATGGGAACTCTAACAAACAATAATCTCGACTTCTATTCAAGATAGGTGTCGTTTTTTATCGAAAGATAGACAAATGAACAAGTTTTAAGATGATACTAATAACTCCACACTTCCAAAACTTGGGGAGTGCCTGATTCTATCACATCGTGGCACAAAGTGGTGACTGTGGTATGATGGGATTGCTCTCCGCTGTGGCACGCAGAGCGCGTGAACTCAGTTCTGTAAAAGGGGAGTAATTGTGAGGCAGCGTGGTGGAATCAGGCTCTCGTCAAAATAATCAGAGTGAAGAAACTTGCATTTTTCACAGGTTTGTGAATTTTCATCAAATTTTTGTGTTTTTTTGGCTCAACACCTTTCATGCCCATTAAAGAACTCATTTCTGTACGGATTTTTTTGAAAAACATTTATTAAAAGCACAAAAAATTAAAATTTTCAGTTACCACGGACTCTAAAGCTAAGGAAATAACTAATCTTTGGTAGCCATTTTCTCACATATTTTACCTCTGAAAGCAGGTGACTCCCACCTCCTTCATTCACAAATATCTCGACTTGTATTCTAGATAAATGGATATTTTTTTCATCCAAATGAAGACAAGTGAACAAGCTTTAAGATGATACCAATAGCTCTACATGCCCAAAAATTGACGAGAGCCTGATTCCACCACGCTGCCTCACAATTTATTGTACATGTATTTTATCGAGTATTTTTGTCTTTCAGCTGTGACCCAGTGACATACAATAGAGTCTTTAAATCTCGTATTCACCATACTTTCTCCCCCTCAATTCATACAGCAGTCATCTGTTCCCAGCGCAGATATTACTTCATAATTTTGACATCAAACATTGAGATGCGGGGACAAATCCCGTGAAGGCAACGCGACTAAAAAAGAAAGAACAGTCATGATGTCTTCATCATAATCATCCAGAGTCAGATCTGCGACAGACATCGGCGATCATGGTTCTCCATTCATTCCTTTGCTCGGATGCTCTTTAAAAAGGCTACTTTACCCTGATCTTTCCCCGTCACCCATTTGTTTAGGTTCCCTAAGTAGGTTGCTCTGGGCCTACCCCTGCCTCGTTTGCCTTCAATTTTGCCAGTGAGAGCTTGATGTTCAAATCCCTTATGTTTCTTCAGGTGCCCTTAAAACTGTGTTTTTTCCTGATTGTTTTTATCAGTGAGCGTTCCATGTGGGTGGTTGGCGGGTGCTTTGGTGTGGTGTGCTCCTTCTTTCCTATCAAACATCTACAGTCTTTTTCTCCCATCCTTCTTTTTTGTGTTTGTTACTTTCTTGTAACACCTGTACTAAAACAAACAAAAAAACTCTTACTAAAACTAAAACTAAGAGAGAGAGAGAGAGAGAGAGACAGAGAGAGAGAGAGAGAGCGCGAGAGAGAGAGACAAAGAGAGAGAGAGAGACAGAGAGAGAGAGAGACAGAGACAGAGACAGAGACAGAGACAGAGAGAGAGACAGAGACAGAGACAGAGACAGAGAGAGAGAGACAGAGAGAGAGACAGAGAGAGAGACAGAGAAACA